TTATTTTCTATGATTCTCAACCTAATTTTCCCCAAATTTCAGCGCCAACGATCGTCCCAACATCAATGTGCCTCGTCTGGCTCCGCCGGGCGCCCACGGCCACGGCCACAGCATTCTCGCCAACCACCCGCATCTAATGTACCGTTCAATGAACGGGCAGATGCTTCCACCACCGCCACCACGTTCGGAATCTCCGCCAGCTGGATATCCATACATGCGGGTGCCGTGTAAACTGGGCGGTCCCGGTGGACGTACCGTACTCCATGCGAGGATTAGCTCGAATGTCATTGAGCAGAGAGCGTTGCCGTTGATTTTGCGGCAGATTCGAGGAGGCAGATCGCAGAATATTAAGTGAGTGGTTTTTGTTGAGAAATCGGGATTTTTGAGATTTTTGGGCTGAAAAACGGCAGAAAATGACTCAAAAATTGACTGAAGAGAGCTAAAAACGGCTTAGAAATGTGCTAGAACACGAACTTTGACTCAAAATGGCCTAGAAGTTCAAATTTGAGATTCCTAGGCCACCAGATTTAGACAATGTATCCCTATTCATTAGGTGGCCTAGAAACCCATATTCGAAGTTTCCGGGTGGCCTAGAATTCGATAATACGGATTTACTAGGCCACATGGCATACATAATTTTTAAATTTTGGTTTTTGGCTGAAAAACGGCTGAAAATGGGCTAGAAATGGTTCAAAAATGACCTAGACCATGAATTTCGGCTTTAAATGGCCTAGAAATCCATATTTTCCCTCTTCCAGCCTCCCATTCTTCATGCAAGACCCCGCCTTCATCGTCTGGAACTTCAAAATCATTGAAACGCCAATTTTCCGCCCACGCGAGACGTTCGAAGCGATCGTTCGTCAGGCGATCAACTCGGTCCCATATGTGGCTGATGCCGTCAAACAGAATATTGCATTCAATTGGGAAACATCGACGATGGTGCTCAAAGTTCATTTTCCAGAGATGTAAGTGAGGGAATTTCCCGTTTTTTGATCCTAATTTGACCAATTTTGACCTCAAATTGACTCAAAAACGCTAATTTTGACCCTAAAACACCCGAAAATCACTATTTTTGCCCCAAAATTTGCTCAAAATCGACCAATTTTTCACCAGAACGACTCAAAATCGATTTCTAGGCGATTTGCCGTTGGTGGCCTAGAAATCCAAATTTTGAAAAAGTCAGGCCACCATTCATTTCATCAAACGAAAGCTCTTGTTTCATGATGCTCATACCAGTTTTCAGATTTCAAAAATCTCTAATTTCAAGCGAGTTACAGCAATTTGAAATTGATGGCCTAGAAATCCAACTAGGCCACATCGGTTCAAATGGCTGTAACTCGCTTCAAGATCAAGATTTTCGAAATCCAAAAACTGTTTTAAGTTTCCTAAAACTACCTCTTTCGGGGCCTAACTCCCTTCAAAATGAAGGGTTTTTGAAAATTTGAAAACTGCTTTAAATCTCTTAAAACACGCTATTCAAAGCGGTGTACACCATGGTTTAGTTTTCCGAACATTTGGATTTCTAGGCCACCAAAAAAAATCCTAGGCCATTATGAAAAATGACCTAAAAATTTATATTTTACCTCCAAAAACCCTTAATTTTCAGCCCATCTCACATTCCATCGCCAGCACTGGAACGCATGAATTTCCTGGCGTTCTGGACGGACCATCTGACGCTATTTATCAATAAAATCGAGGAGGCCGACGGTCTCCACGACGCCGTTCGTCAAGTACTGTACCAAGTTCAAAAGAAACAGTCTGTGGATGGTCTAACCGATTTGGGACGTGATCAGAGGTGTTCAGCACTGAATGAGATCATTCGGGAGTTCGAGAAGATGTGGGCGGGGCTTAGCCATATGAGGGATTACGGTAGGTGGATTTTGAGTTAAAAATTGAGGTTTTTGGAGCTATTTTAGTGCAAAAATAACATTTTTGACGATTTTTGATTCCAAAAATAGGCTTTTTAGGCCATTTACCATGGAGGCCTAGAAAACCCCGTTTGCAAAAACTAGGCCATCATGTTAAAATGGCCTAGAAAACATTTGAGGGCATTTTTAGACTATTTTCACACGGTGGCCTAACTTTTGAGTTTTCTAGGCCACCACCGTTTTTGGCCTAGAAATGGTCAGATAGCGATTTCAACATGATGGCCTAGAAAAGTCATCTTGTGAAAGTTAGGCCACCGTGTTAAAATGGCCTAGAAAACATTTGACGCCATTTCTAGGTCATTTGCGATGGTGGCCTAGAAAACTCCACTTGCAAAAGTTAGGCCACCATGTACAATATGCAAAAATATCGA